AAAAGATAAAGAACAAGTCAAATGAAAATTAAAGTTAATCTATAAAGGCCATTGCACGTAACAAAGTTTTAGTCGTAATCGTAAGGTCATAAGAAAATAGACCAATCACACTCGATTATTCTTCGAGCGCGAGGAGAATAATCGACTGTGATTGGTTAATTTTCTTACGGCCTTACGATTATGGCTAAATCTTTGTTACGTGCAATGGCCTTAATAGACATAAGTGATTTTGCCAGTTGAATTAACTTATTGCCAATAATTAACATAATCTGCTTGATTGTTCCTTAGCCGTGTTCTGTAATTCTTATCTTGTAAATAATTTGACTATCTTCGACTACAACTTATTATTGTAATTTTTTCGAGGAATTAGAAAAAGATAAATAGTATAAAGTTAAACCAATAAGATTAATTAAAGTTTACCTGTATTGATGATAGAAATGGGCGTAATCGTTATAATTATTTCGATTAACTGATTTTATAAGTTGTTATAGTTAACCAGAGCGGAACGCGGTATATACATATATATGTCGTCGCGAGAGTGAAGGTCGTTGAGGAATAGAAAAGGCACGTACTTAATTTCGCTGATTTGTCGCGCTAGGCGAGATGAAACGACGAAGCAATCGAAGCTCGAATAAACGGGACGAACGCAAAGCGAGAAACGGAGCAGGCGAGCACGTCGACGAACTTCCGGTTTCTTTTTGATAATGATAACAGGCACCCGATCCTCACAATCAGTCTATTGGGTTCGATATGGCCAAGACGACGATTTTCCGCCGAACTCGCGCAACAATTAAGTCGTCCGACGAAAGTGCGCGGATTCGGGGAAAGAAGTATAGTAATTAAAACGGACACGCGCGCGTGACGTGAATCCACGCCATTGGTCGACGGCTCTCGGAACAATTGATGTCGATTATTGAATCGCGCGTCGAATAAAGCGCGCGCGACAATCCGATATAAGCTCCGCCATTTTCGTGCCGCGCCATTTTCGCCGACACTCCTCCCGGGATTGACCTGATTTATTGATATAAATAAATAGAAATACGTGGCACGAAATAACATATGGCAGAAATATATCTTACTGGAACAACCGCGCGATCGCGAGGGAGATTTTGATTGGAAACACCATATAATACCGTCGCGTTTTTCCGTTTTCGAAGTTTCGCGGAGCGCGATTTCTCGTCGCGATTCGCGTGACTGTACCGTGTTTGACTCTTGTTCGCCATCGTTTGTTCCGATCTTCCTTTTTATCTTTTGGAACGGGCGCTACTTACCGAGAGCACGAAGAGAACCGTGACGCCTCGCACGACGGACATGTTCGTTTTTAGTGTGCTCTCAATTCGAACGAAATGTAGCAACGAGTTGACAAAGGTCAACCACTTTCACTTTAGCTGTTCACTTTCGATCTGGCGACCGCCGATCGTCGCAGTCGAATCTCCCCTTCCCTCCCATAGCGGCTATTTTGCGCGCGTTTTCAACCGCGCGCGGCATCGACAAGGAACGCGCGTCGGATGAGCGTGAAAACGAGGATTTCACGCGATAATTAAACGCGAGACGAAAGATACAACTTTCGTCTTTTGTAGTTAAATATCTTAAATATCTCGTACTTTTCAAATATTTTGCTATTATAAAAAATTCGTCACTCACCGATCCGATGCGCAACGGGCGGAGTAATTCGGCCACGTAGCTACGACGATACTGTAACAAAAACGAAAGATATAAATTAAAGAGGCGCTGAAAATGATTAATGTTTCAAAAAAATACACATAATTTTACGCATTAGATTTACTGATATAATTATCTATTTTCCATTTACATTTTTATTTATTTATTTTTTTATTACATTATTTTATTTATTACATATTCACAAAAATAAATTTCTATAAAATTTTAAACAATTTCTTTTTTTCTAATTATTTTTAGCTTATCAAAATAAAACTGAATAAATGAGGAAGAACTATTAATTTTGTGCAAATAAAAAATGATACTCACCCCAAGGTTGCTCCGCCGGGGCCCGATGTCTCTCTCAGACCTCCTCCTCCTCTCAGGACGTCAGGCCTCCTCCTCTCACCGCACAGGACACTCGCGGAGAAACACTCGCGGATAATTAACTACAATCGCGCGCGGACTAATTTCAATAAAAGTCTTTCTCGCGCGATACTTTACGGCCCTGTAACTTTCGTTTAAAAAAGTTTTTTAGTCCGATTACTTGAACGGCACTCCCGAAGCAAACGCGACGAACCGGCTGCGGTTCGTTCATTCAATTAAATCGGCGGACGAGGATACGTTAGCTTCCCCGTCTTTGGATTTCGGACTGGTGTTGCATCACGGCGCGTGCTATCACTCGACGAATCACTCGATACGGTTTCACGTTGTCACTCTTTTCCCCCTTCGAAAAGAATCGGAGATAGGTCGCATTACAATTCCGGCACAGCGGATATAATGTCAAAGCACGACATTATATATTCGAGAGTCCAGATATATGATGAGACCGCGAGACGAACGATTATCGCCCGCGAATGCACAACGAAACTACAAATCACGTAATCACAATAGCCGTACCTTCGCCTCGACGTCTAGACGTCTAGACGTCTAGACGCGTCTCCGCCTCGAGCGATTCACAATTTCACACGACATTGCACATTCATTCCGACACTGTCCGACAGGCACTTGATACATTACGAATTTTTGAGCGCGTAGTCGATTATTCCTGCAAAACGAGGAGCAGGAGTGCCAATCGCAAGAAAAAGCGCGTTCCGAAAAACAGCATCCACAGCACGGAGCACGGAGCACGAAACACTTGACAACTGTCCGAAATTTACCGGGAGAATGACCGAATGATTCCCGCAGGTAACGGTACTCCGAACATCGAAGAAAACAAACGGCAAGGCCGCTCACCGACAAGAACGATCGATCGCACGCCGACTTCGAAGGTACGCTGTTTCAACGTTCAACGGTCGCGCCTAGTATGGCCGATGGCCACCGATGGCGTCTGGTATGCCGCTGCCTGCGCCGCGCCGCTACGCCGCGCCACCGAGTCGGCGGCTCGGAGCGGCGGAACGTGATTGGCCGGATCCGGGGGCTCGACTCGCGAGCCAATTAGTCATTGGCTGCGTTCGGCCGAACCTCTGCTTAGCGAAGCGGAAGGTAGCAATTAAGTGTAATTGGTTGGATCCAAAGGTAAGAACCAATCACATTCAGTTGCTACCTTTCGCTTCGCTAAGCAGAGGTTCGGCTGGACACGGCCATTCTTCTCTCTGGGACCAGGATAAAATTTTACGAAAATGGCACAGTTCGCGCAAATGATAGAAGACCTCGACGATTGTTTCGTGAAAACGGCGGGGAATATTATTAAATACTGCGGTAAGTTTCCAAGGAACACGCTCACAAGGGAATGGTACGAAAGTTTCAATTAATTTCTAAGGACGGATTAATATCATTCTAATTGTAATTCGATGTCTTTCTCTGTTGTGCACGCTGTGAAAAGTGTTTTTGTCTAAAACCTTGCTTTAATTCAGAAACTGTATATAAATTGTATCTAGTAATAAGTTTGTGTTGAAGTTGTGACTTCAGGAATTTCTACCTCCCATTTTGAGCCGTGTATCTCGGCAACCGTTTAACCTCTGCATTTACTATTCCGGAAATAATTATTTCTTATTATCCCCTATCGAATAGTCTTGGTCTGCTCTTGCGACTAAGGCCCAGTTCAACAGTGGCCAGTTAGCTTAACTAGTAGTTAACTCTCACTCTCTGTCTCTTTCTAACCTCAAACTGGCCAGTGGCTAACTGGCCACTGTTGAACTAGGCCTAAATCAGGCATGGTCAAGTGAGCAGGTTGACCATGTCTGGACTAAATTGACACTTTTATGTCTCGTTTCTTTGTCAGAATCTTCTGAGTGTTTTTCTCCGCACT